CAGCTGCCAGAGATTATTTGGCTATACCAGCATCTGGGGTATCAGTCGAAAGACTGTTCAGTGGGGGAAGAGATCTCTTAGGAGTGCGGAGGAGCTCAATGAGTGCAGAGACTATGAGGCGTCTTATGATGCTGCGAGATACATGGAAATAGCTTCAGAGATTTACGAATAATTACGAATAATTACGAATAATGCGAATATTATTCGTACGAATATTAGTAAGCGGAAATTCTAAATTTTATTCGTATTCGACTACGAATATTCGTACGAATATTCGTAATCGAATATTCGTGTCCAGCCCTAGCTTGTTGGTCAGCCTCTTCATTAATACGAGGCCTCCTGAAAATATTAGATGGTGTTGTTGAATTTATTTCATTGATCAAAAGCGCTCTACGTATCTACGTATTATCTCAAGGGGTGCACGGAATCTGGGTTGCATGGAAAGTGGGTCCGTTGACTTAGGCCACATTTATCATGTCAACATTACGATTGAAACATGGAATTTAACGGGCATGTACAAGTTGCTGCTATGTATATCCATATCTAACCAGTGACAAATTCGTCCCAGCGCAGACGATCGAAACATTCACGACACTAGCTACCCTTCACTTTCAGTGCTGTAGCCTCGAATTGGCATCACAAAACGTCTAGACTAGAGCTTTGCAGAGTTGTGAACTAAATTTAGGCTTTCATAATGGCTCGTATCATGCTGGAGGAATGAGAGGGAGTGTGACATAATTGCCGTCGCCTTCCCCAAAAACCAGCTCATTGAGTCCCTTGAAAACCTCCTCGGGTCGATCGGTCGGGTCATCATGCATAAAGACGCCACAGCCTTGGGTGTCTGCTCCCGCCACCTCAAAGACCAGAGTGTTTCCAGGACTCACCACGACGTTGGTGGGCCAAATCTCCACATCCACAGCGTACGTTTCTCCAACCTGCAGAGGTTGCACGTCAGTGGAACGGTAGTTTCGGTGCGGTAAGTAATCTCGATGGTGAGGATGACTTGGGTCGGTTGTGCGAAGCGAGCAGCGTAGCCATCCTTTCGTAACTGGGACGGGGTCCCCAGCGGTTCCTGTGTAGTGGATTTCTTTACCGTTTGGATCTAGGTGCCGGATTGTGACAAAAAGATCAATGTCCGAAGGCGTCTGTCCGGGTTGTTGCGGAATGCGGACGTGAAGATGTGCTCTAACATGACCGGTAAACTCCGTGCGTTCTTGAAACGGTGCCGTGGTGAATTTCAACATGCCGGAGCTGGGCTGCTTCGAGAAGTCTCGCACAGGAGGGGGGCCTCGAGCTTGCGGTGGTCTTGCAGGTTGTGGAGCCATTTCCATCGCCTTCCATTGCAACGTGTTCTGGGTTTCGGTTGGTGGGGGTTCCAGTGTCATGGCTTTGTCCGAGTGTAAGTAGTATTTAGTATACCGAGTTTGTGGAAGTGGCCATGCCGATTCCTCGCGTCTTTGAAACTGCTTCTCCTTCTCTGCATTATTGAATCCCACATCCCCCTCTCGGAGAATCACCGATACAGGATTCACTTCTCCATGAGTCCACCCTCGATCGTCCTCCCCCTTGAGAAAGGCGTCCAGGAATGACTTTTGCAAAAGAACTTCTTCGCGCTGATAGAATGGCAGGTCATGCCGACCAGTGATGAAGCGAAGAAATTTGTACTTGGAGCTGGCATGTGTGTACCCCTGAACATTGCCACGAAGATGAAGGAGACTCCCACCCTGATGGAAGTTAGTACGCTCCTTGAACAGGCTTGGAGCGACTCACCCAGTTCGCAACGCTCAGCAATGGAACTTCAATATCCTCAATGTTGTAGTCTCTCGTTGCGTAATACGGCTCATCCATGAACTTGTTGATGCGGTTGTCCACCGTCTGATCCCGTAGATTCTTGTTCAACTCCTCCTCGCTCAAAGTCCCTTCAATCGTTGCAGGGACTAGTGAGCCCTCTGGGCGGGCACGCCCGTACTGGTTGACTTTGACCTGGCGGTTCCACCAGAATCCTTCTATCCGTTAGTGCTTGACATACAGCAATAGGGGAAATCGCACTAATGAATGCATTTGAATAAATTCCGCCATGACGGCATCGATCGCGGTAGTAGTCCGACATTCCTTCCCATGGGACGATCGCTGCAAGCCCCTTGGGTTTTCTTGCCGCAACCCTCCATTGCGTGCCCGCATAGTAGCTGATTCCAAGGAGGCCAACCTTCCCAGTCGACCATGGTTGTTCGGTGGTCCAAGTGATAACATCAAAGAACGCCTCACTTGTGCCCTGGCTCATGGTATCCATCATGCCGGGGCTTTGTCCTACTCCCCGCTCGTCCGCCCGGACCAGTATATAGCCATGAGAAGTCCACCATACCGGGTCTGGAACTTCCCATGCAGAATGAGCAGATTGATACTCAGGGTCCAGTTCATCGAATGAGCTCTTCCGGAAATTGCGATAATGAACGTCTTTGCCGTAGGGGCCGTATGTGACGAGAACAGGATATTGGCTTCCGGTATCCGAATCATGGGGCCGGTAAATGTTTACACGAACCAGACCAGTTTCGTAGGTGCGCAGTGGCACGCTGACATTTTGTTCAACAATGTACGGAAACGAAGAAGAGTCCTTCTTCGCGATGTTTCGAATGTTGAGCAACATCTTGGTGCAACAGGAAGTGACTTTGCGAGTTCTAGAACTGGGACCAAATGAGAGCCGTGTTGCGTTCTCTTCGTCCGCCAATATCCTAGGCTCTATCGACAAAAGACCCAAAAGGACGTACTGCCGTGGAACGAGAAGTGAAATTACTTACCTTTGACCCCGCCGGCCACTACGCCGTTGATCGCTGTGCCTACCCGCTGTTGTGGTTCATCAGCGTCTCCGTCGGATCATCCCCGCGTTTCCGACACTGCATATATTGCTCCAGCTTGGCTTAATTGCTCCTGGCCCGGTGCATTCGATCGGATACTCTTGCATGCGACGACGGCACACCAGAATGTTGGGTCTACCTCCTATTCGTCGAATTATTACCGGCCACGACGACAATGGTCGTGCAGTCATTGACGACGATTGCACCTTTCATCCTTTCGACCCCAGGTCGGTTCTACCAGGCGCGAAGTCTACTCCCCAATCCAACAATGCAGCACCACCGGTGAGAGGATTCATTCATCTGTGGCGAACGGAAAACGCGCCGGCCAAAATTCAAGGCCCATGGACCGAGTACCAAAACAAGGCCATCCCACTCAGCGATGCCACTGGGACGACAGTTCGGGTGGTTGACATGTCCCCAGGACAATATTCTCCAATGCATCGAACCGCAAGCCTTGATGTCGGGGTCGTTCTCAAAGGGGCTGTGGTTTTAGAGTTGGATGACAAGACTGAGACGACGCTGAAGGAGGGAGAGACGATCATTCAGAGGGGAACCATTCACGCCTGGCACAATCGGACCCAAGAAGCAGCACGGATTTTATTCGTACTGTTGCCTGCTGAAAAGGTCGTTGTCAACGGCGAGGAACTGGCACCGACCATATTCGATGTGAATTAGATGCCCAAGATTAGACTTACAAACCACGAATGGGGAGAGGTTGGCTCGATCACCAGGCTCAAATCATTCCTTTGCGTTTCATGCCTGTGTTTGTCCGATGTCTTGTGGTTCCATGCCTTTGTCGTGTACTTCGTGGAATTGTGGCGACACGTGTGGGGAGCCGGTGAAATGCAATACAAAAAATCATTCATTTTAATGTGAAAGCCACGGTTGGATTTAATCAAGAAGCAATGAGGCCCCCCCAGAGGTGCTCCTAGCGAGGTCGACTTCCTGTTCTCGGATTCTCCCGCCCAAATAGCTGTCCTAAGTGCATAGCGAGTACCCTCCTACCATGGCTGCTGAGTCATCAAACGGGCCATTAGGCCTCCTTGGCCCTCCAAACCACCAGGTCCCACCCGCGCCTCCTCCTGCAGAACCGCTCAACGTTATCATTATCGGTGCTGGAATCGCCGGGCTAGCTTCCGCTGCTGCCCTTCGACAGGCGGGACACAAGGTCAAGATAAGTATCTCATCTGAAGTTCTAAACCTGTCTGGCTAACCAGTATTTACATTTTCGAGCAGTCACGTTTTGCCAACGAAGTCGGAGCTGCCATTCACGTCGGCCCAAATGCAACTCGTGCATTGGAATTCCTCGGATATGATGCTGCTCGCCTCCGGGGCGTCATCTGTGCTGGTGTATGCTATGATCGGAACATAAATGAAGTCCTATCATCGCTGATTCCTGTCCCAGATTTCTGTACATGAAAGCGCTTCTGCCAAACAGGTGATAGAGATTGACACTAGTGATGCGAAATCAAAGTACGGATATGTAAGGCAAGGAACCTCAGTTCTCGACTCCTAGCTGACGGCATTCAGCAATGGTATCTCGTGCACCGAGTGGATTTGCACAATGAACTAAAGCTCCTGGCGCTCGCTCCCCGACAAGGCAATCTTATTCCTGAGCTCCATCTTTCCTCAAAAGTCGAAAGCATAGATCCCGAGGCTGGGGCTGTGACCTTGCAAAATGGGGACACCCACTATGCCGATCTCGTAATTGGTGCTGATGGGGTCTATGTTTGTTTGATTATTTTCCGACGCGGTAATAGTTACTGACCTTGAGATAGTCGGTAAGCAGAGAAGCGGTCTTTGGCGCCGATAAGCCATATGCGGTGGGCGACTCCTGCTATCGGTTTGTCCTAGATTCTAATGAGATCTATGACGATCCCAAATGCCTTGCGATGAAACGTGGAAATGGGTACTGTCGGATTATTGCTTCTCCTACCAAACGTGTGGTCATCTACCCTTGCAGGAATGACGAATTACTCAACTTTGTCTGCATCCACCCTCAGGGGACCGAGACTGACGATACCGGTATGCCCTTAAGCCTGTGGTCCACACCATTTATTGACATGTGTAGATTGGCAAACTGAGTCGTCGACCGAGGATCTGCTCGAATCATACAGCGATTTTGCCCCGTCGGTCCTGGCATGCCTGAAAAAGGCAAAGGACGTGAAGCATTGGCAGCTCCTTCAGCGACATCCCATTCCATCTTGGGTCAAGGGAAGATTTGCACTGGTGGGGGATGCAGCACATCCAATGTTGCCCCGTGAGTGAATCCTCTTGATTCCGATAACTAGACTAATGTTCGAAGACCAAGCTCAAGGTGGTGCTCAGTCCTTGGAAGATGCTGTCACTCTAGGCCCGCTTCTCCGATTTGGCACGACAGCAAGTCAGGTTCCTGGGATCCTTACGCTGTATCAGCAATGTCGGCACCCGCGCGCATCTACGATTGTTCAGATGTCGAGGGATCAGAAGGCAGGGGAGAGGACTATCAGCCGTATGTCAAATGTTTCATCTACTTCGCGCACGGCGAGACTGACAACCCAAGCACAAATCACGAATGATTTCATATTCGCTCATGATGCCGCAGCGTATGCAAAGCATACACGTGCATCTGTTCTTATTATATGATGTGTTCTGAACATCGGTATATCAGTAGAGCAAAATAAGATCTACGGTCTCTTAAAGATCCACGAGATCCTGCTGAGAGCCAGGCCCAAAGTGCGACTGTGACTTTTATTACATACATAAAGTTCCCCCGTTACCAGCATTCAAGCAACTACCATCGCCCTAAGTCCAACTAAAAATCCAAGGCCTGCCAATGCCTTCGCTGATATTTGGTGTACAATATGATCCTTAGTTTTCGATTTATGAACAGCCTAGAAAGGTGGGAAGTCTGCAGGCTATATAATCCGCACCCAGATGCGGTTGACTAATCACCCCTTCAACATTTTGGAATCTAACGGGGTTTTCCACCGTGTCGCTGCATTAATCACCGGATTGAGCGAAACCGCTATTTACAGTAGGGAAATGATCCACCTACACCCCTCCAAAGGCTCATCCTACACCCTTTGCACGTGATTTCAATTTATGCGCTCTGATTGGTCCATTTAGAAGCGGTCATAGAGCACGTGACTTATTTTGATGACGTTCCTATGGCGCGGGCACCCTACCCATTTTGGGCACCCCGTACCACGACTTTTGGGCACACTTTCCCGCGTACACGGCTCTCGACCACTCTGCGACTCTGTCCCACCGCAACGAGCGGCTAAGCCAAAACGGGGGATAGGGTCTACCTAAATCGGGCAGTCGTAGGTGCCCACAATGGGTGGTCGGGTGCCCAAGACGGGTGATGGGGCTGCCCACAATGGGTGGTGGGGGTGCCCAAAATGGGTGATAGGGTGCCCGCGCCATAGGAACGTCATCAAAATAAGTCACGTGCTCTATGACCGCTTCTAAATGGACCAATCAGAGCGCATAAATTTGAAATCAGGTGCAAAGGGTGTAGGATGAGCCTTTGGAGGGGTGTAGGTGGATCATTTCCCTTTACAGTATCTCACAACTAGGCCATAATTAGTGTAGTAGTTATCAATAATTTATCTATCTGAGTGTTCGATGAAACATTCCCTGGGATAGAAGAATTTGTTAAATAGATCATGGGAGCCAATCGAAGGCCAGTTGCGGCGTTGGCTTCGGACATGTCGGGTATGCGGGCACCGTGCACTGTAGACTTCAATTACATGTTACTTTAAAGTCGAATCCGAAACGGACGCCTTATATCATCCTTCTTATGGAAATTTCAGCTTTACTACAAATCCCCACGTTACCGAAGTCACGTGCGCGTCGATAGCTGGCACCGCTTATATCAGTCTACTGCACGACGGACGGAAATTCGAGCTATACAAAGAACAGTCATCAAATGTTCTAACGGGACATTAAGTATTCAGATTAGAAGATTGTACCACGCCTTGCCTTGTACTCATTGTACATTACATTGCCATGACCGACCGAAACTTTCGATCGTACGAGACTGAGAAGACTGTCGTCGAGAAATGGAAACCCTTAGTCGAAGAGATGGAAGTCATATCCCCTTCTGTCTCTGGAAAATCGGCTCAACGCCATCATGTTACAGGAACAGTTGACTTGTACCTGAATGGACAACAAAGACTCATCCCAATCCCATCTTCAGATCCACTTGGTGCGTATGCTCCAAGGTGCAAATCAATCGTCTAATATCAGCAGATCCTCTGAACTTGCCACAATGGAGAAAATGGGCCTGCGTGGCAGCATTATGTCTTTGTAAGAACTTTGAATCTGCGGTGCGACACATTCTAACCTATCTCCCAGTTGGATCCATTGGACTCACCGTTCAAGCCGGTATTGCGGGCATGATTCCAGTGTTCATTTTTGAATATTCGGGGCTCGACCCGAAGATGCTCAATCAAATGTCTGGGTCCGGTCCAGTCCCGGCGCCTCCCCCCGGGCCGCATGGTCACAAGAGTGCCGACATGGCGAAGGCATTTCCTGTGATTCCAGGGAAGCCGACCTCTGCGCAAGTTAGCATGTTGGGATCGCTCCCTTCGCTCTTTTTAGGATTGGCCAACTTCTTCACGATTCCTCTAGCCAATGCCATTGGGCGGCGTCCTGTCATGCTCCTGTCCGCTGTACTGGCCGCCGCCACACTACCATGGGCGGCGGGAAGCACGAGTCTGGAAAGTCATCTTGCCGCTAGGTGCATCCAAGCTCTAGGCACTGGCGCCATCGAATCTCTGGTCCCGTTAATACTCCAGGATATGTCGTTCATCCATGAACGCAACAAGTACATTGGTTTTATCTGGGCTAGCGGTGTAAGGCGTCTACTCTGCGTTGACAATACTACTACTGACCATCTTGAAGGGGGTCATGGCATGCGGACTAGGTATCGCGTCGTCTCGGATTGTTGCTGATCTGGGCTGGCGCTGGTTCTACTGGATCATGACGATCCCTGCAGGCCTCGCATTCATTCTGATCTTCGTATTTGTCCCAGAGACCAAGTTTCCTCGGAGTCAAAAATCACTTGGTACGGCTTCCACAATGGCCACGCCCGGTTCGCTAATGAGACATAGATGGTGACCTTAGCCTCGTCTCCCAGGGACAACTTCGCCCCGAGATCGACCACGGCCTACATGGCCGCAAGCGGTGGGGTTGGACGGTATTTCAATATCGGGAGTGGCCACAGGCATGGCACACATTGATTGAAATGGGACAGTCGCTCCTCCTTCCGAACATTCTCTGGATCATCCTTCTGAATTCCGCAAGCATTGGGACGAATATTGCAAACCAGATGGCAGGCGGAGTGGTCCTTCTGCTCCCTCCTTATTCATTCCCTCAATCCTCCCTTGGCTTCGTTACGATCTCACTGTTTGTTGGTTCTATCTTCAGCTTTGCCATATGCGGTATTGGTGGAGACTGGCTTGCGGGAAGACTAACAAAGCGAAACAATGGGCTTCGCGAGCCAGAGCATCAACTCATAAATCTGGTTTTGCCGATCATTGCCACTATTGTTGGGAATGTCTGGTTCGGTGATATTGGCGAGCACCCGGAGAAGTATCACTGGATTTGGTTCTTCGTGTCGAATGCCATCTTGGGATTCGGCTTCATATCTATTAACTCAGTGGCTTCAGTGTATGCGATTGAGTGCTACCCAAACATGGCAGGGTAAGTCAGTATCTATCAGGAGGCCCAGTCACTAACTGGTCACAGTTCCCTTCTGGTGGTCGTTTCTGCCTTACGAAATATCATTTCATTTGGGATCTCCTTTGGCGTGTATGGATTCATCGATCTTCAAGGCTTCATTGGCACCTTTGGAATCCTTGGTGGGGTCAGTGGCGCAATTGGACTGGGGATAATCCCAGTGTGGAGTATGTGTCCCTAATTGTGTCTTATTACTTGGTACTAATCAAGAATAGTCTTTGGAAAGAGGATCAGGTCATATTTTGGTAATTTGGCTGGATTGTAGAGTTGCTGCTTGTTATGGGTTGAAACCCTTGGTTGGCTAAGACTGGGAGCCTAAGCCTGATTAGGACAAGGGTTGAATCTGTCACACGGAGGTCACCTGATTATCTCACAATGCCAGACGTTAGATTACGACTTGCTTGCTTACATCAGCACCTTAGCCCCTTCGGGTAAGGCGTATACAAGACAAGTCTTCATACAACGTCTGGGGAAAATGTGTTAAAAAGTTGAAAGATATGATACCTTTTCCCAAAAAAAAGGGTCCAATTCGGTCTCTACTCCCAACGTGAGGCTTCAGCAAAAGTACGCTTGTGTTCGACAATATATCTTGGTTACTGGCCATCTTTTGAACCTAGTTTTACTTACAGACAAATCGAAATGAACTCATAATGTTGGGGTAAAAGGACCGAAACGATTTGTATGGGCGTTCGGCGTGTCGTGCAGAAGCAGCTCAATACTCACAACAAGTAGCCTAGTATGCTAAAAAATCTATCAAATACATTCTGCTGATGCACATTATCCTTCTCATAATATTTTTTCCACCTCAGATCACATTGTGGTGGAGTGGAGTGGGGTCACTCGTCAGAAATTCTCCCTTCGAGGCGCTCGGAATCGCCATCAGACCATCAACACCAGTCAACTAGAAGCCAAAATCCAACACGCGTCGCCCAAATGGACATCCTAACATGCGAGCCTCCGACTGTCGCATCAAGCGGGTATCTGGATGATACGGAGCCCTTGATTAGACAAAATATTCGATCCCTGGAGACGACTGTTAGCATGG